TATAATTATAACTTTGTAATTATACAAATATATAGAATATTATATACATTTATGCAGAATTGAAATTAATAAGCAAATATGGATTACGTAAGCAAGTATCATGTTATATATGTCATTTATAAACAACGATATTAATTTAAAAAATATACGCTTAATATATGTATATTACTTAACTATATAAATTTTTTTTTACAGACAAATCCGACATTGTTATCATAAAACCAAGACGGGATGGATCGATTTGATTCAAATAGCACTGTATCATGCTACGCGCATCGATTTGTGCTTGCTAAGTCTTAAGAACCTTGCCTAGAAACACACATATCTGTGAGTTTATTATACCGAAAAAAGCTCTTTCTATTTTTACCGTGTGTCACTGTATTTATAGTGACGATGACGTAATGTGTTGCGACATATTGCGATAGGAAGAGGTTCTCGGCGATTTTTGACGTCGCGCGAAGAGAGCAACATGTTTCTTATCCTCACCTCGTACCAAGGCATGTTCTTTTTCGTGTAATAAGCCCCAGCCCAACCGCCGACGTTCGGGAGAACCGTCGCTCCCAGCAAAGGCCAGTCGATTCTCACTGGCATCCTGATTCTTAATTGCGCACTTTGCTACTGAAACGTAATGAAATGCGTGCGAATTATATTTGCCATGCATGCACGTGAAGAGACCGTGGATAGACTGACTGTGTTCGCAACGAGTAGGCTTATGCTTTTCCAGCAATGACGTAGCTATCGCTTAGCTATATAGATATGCTAGCGGCTGTACAGCCAGGAACACAGTGCTCTGGTCATCTATTATTCTGAGTACATTCTGTACCCTTTCATGCACATACTAATATTCTCAAAATGCTTCGTCATCCCATCAAATGCTTGTTCTTATCTTCCATCTACAAGTTGACGTGTCAATCAATAAACAATTTTTTTTAATATATGATAAAGTGCGAGAAATAATACTTACAGAATATTTATCTCTTAAGACAAAGTTGCACTATTTAAAAAAAAAAAAGAACAGAGAAAGAGACGAAGCATATTTTTTGCTTGATAACTAGACCGACAAGTTAGTTGGTTCTTAAATTGTTCAAAAATGTGTACAGCACTGACACGTATCAGCAAAAATCTGAGTAATTCTGACCGGAGAGAACAAAGTGCGCCGGTGAAACGGTCACGGCAGACGATCCGGAACAGAAGAAGTCATCCGGAAGATCATTGATGGTTCATCCTGTGAAGCTCTTTTTGTTTGTTTTTAAATAAAGGTTGAATTTTGCGAAAAGAAAGCTCAAAAATATTTTCCAGTAATATATATACATATATTATAAATTTTGCGCTTAAGATAAAAAAACATACATTCGCAATAAAGGTATATGTATATACAAATTTTTACGTTCGCGTACGATGTGAACAAAATAGATGTGTGTAAAAACAATGAGAACTGCATTAAACAAGAATTAATTGCGACTCGACGCGTGAAGTGAATTTTGTCTGTTTCGTTGTAAAAATTTAGGCTGCTCGGTTACGCTTTTATTTATGTGTTTTGATACATTGAAAAAGTTAAGTATAACAAGTATCATCGAAACGCGTTCAGCACAAATTACTTCGTGCAATTTAAACTTATAACACCATTTTTCATGTATATATATATACGTAAGTGTGTATAGACATATAGATAATAATTTACAAACGTGTGCGTGTGCGTGTGTATATGTAGAGACTCTTCCGTAAAACATTCGGGAAAACAAAAAAAAAAAAATCGGTATGCAATCGAAATGTGCTTGTCTACGTACACACATAAAGTTCTTTGTAAATTAACACGGCCGAGGCTTCTCATCGCGTGCGAACCTCGCGTCGATATTTGCAAATGAGTGCACAACTTGATACGAGTATACCGAATATACTGAGGACACAAATAATATAATCTGGTTAAAAATAAATTATTCCCGACAACAAATCAATTACAAAAACATGGCATATTTTATATATAAATATTCCCCAGAATGAACGGATTGAATTCGCGAATGTGTAGTCTGTTTGATCGGTGCAGAATTCGTTTTTTTGTTGTTGTTGTTGTTGTTTTCGATGGAACAGATCGCGCGAGATTAATCGATTTATTTTGACGTAATCAAAATTTTTCAGAGACATAGAGAAATCGTTTTACATGACGCGTATAAAAAAGAGATATGAAAAACATTTAAAAACTACAAATATTCTTTGCACATTGATAATTTTTGACTAAAAAAATGTTCCCCCATGTGTATGCGATAGTCTGAATTCTTAATTATCTCAGAGGCTAGTTCGAAATAACTATTAACAATTTTTTCATTCGGAACTTAATAGCGCTACAGATTAGGATTGACATACATTGTACTGGAATTTATCGGTTCGTGAGGACAAAGTCCTCCGCTAAGAATGAGCTCGCTTTAATGTAAGTGGTTCGATACGATCGTTAGTTTTGAACACAGTCTCAATCCCAGTCTATAGTACGCGACATAAATGTTTGTTAAAACTGTATTTGAAATAGCTGAGAAAGCTAAATAAAGATCAATCAATCATATGATTTGAACTGTACACAGATCAAATTTCAAAACGAAGAAAAACACGATCTTGCGTACGGGATTTCTCTCTTATGTAGATCAATTAAGAAAAAGAAAAAAATTGTATTTTAACTCCGGAACAGTTGAAGAATCCAGAATTGTTCTTGAGGACATTCGAGGAATATCGAATACTTAACGCAAATCGGTCAACAAAAATGTGTAAAAACAATACTTATTGTTTCCAGTCGAAGTTCTTTTCTTATTCGCGTCGTATGTGTTCGTATATATATTATTGACATTTTTAACTGTGTAACATGCACTCGTAATTGTTCTCGCTCGACGCTCAAGAGCACAACACTTTTTTATATCGCAAAGTGTCTGTTCTTCCTTTACTCATCCTTCGCAAATTTGTTATCTTTGTCGTGCGTGTTTCCTTCTTTCTTACGATCGAGCTTGGACGCGAACAAGTGATCTTTAATTCTTTCCTTCACAAGCTTCTGCGGAATCACCATAATGGTGGTGGTACTATTACCCAAGAATAGTACGAGAAACATGGCACTAAGCACCGGCACGTGCCACGTAGCTTCTGGATGATACATCAGATTGTACAATGTGTACGCATTGTACAATTGAAAAAAGTAACCGATAAAAAGAAACGGCAACAAAAATGAGAGGCCGCGCCACATCCACGAGTGAAATCCTTCGATAGTGATGTCCATGTTATCCCTTTCCCCAAGCGCTTTTAACCGATACAAAACGCCACGCTGATATCGAAATTGCAAGTATTGAACTACACCTGAAAATTAACACGCGTCGTTAGCATGGGAATGACATACATACGTTTGTATACTAAGAAAAAAGTCGAGAATAACTTACTGATGTAAACGTTGAACCACATGAACTGACTACGAAATTCATACCACGGTCCAGTATTTGGCCATACCAGTAGAACACCAGATATCACAGTTGAGAGAAAATGATGAAATCTCCACCATCCTTTGATCCTAGATCCATTCACCTTAAGTATACTTTCTCTTATCGTTAACGTACAATAATACCAGACAAGAAGAAACATGAAACTTAATTCTAGAGTTCTGAAACACACAAGACAACAGGAATATATTTGTATGTTAAATTACAAATAAACTTAAATTATACAAATTTTATTTTTCTACACGAGAAATCACACAATAATTTATATTCATTCAGAGCAACAAAAATTTGATATGAGATACATTTCCTTACCTTACATTGGTAAACAAGTTTAGTACAGACAGCACAAAGCCAATTACTGAAAGAACTAATTTAAATTTCTCATATTCATCCTTGTATTTGAATCTGAAAGCATTGATCACTTTAAGATCATTCAACATGACGCACACAATCCAAGTTCGTTATGACATTTAATAACACATACTTGTCGTTTTTGTTTAATATGGAGACATTAACATTTCCCAAGATAATTTTAAGATATGTGCCATTTGGCTTTGGTAGTGTTTGTCCTATTTCGCAAAGTTGTTGCTCTCTCCTGGCCATAGATTTTCGTAAATCTTCTTGTGTTTCTTTGTTTAAACTAAAAAATAAAATACAATATGAAATAATATAACACACTTTTGATCTTATTTTTGAAAGAATTTTACAGTTCATAAAGAATAAAAGATAACATAAAACCACATTAAAAAGAACTTACTGTTTTATGGATTTGGATATTACACCCATTCTGTACCTTTGGTGAGAGATAGCTTTGACACATTTTGCCTGCAGCTCACCAACTTGTTCTAATTTTGCAAGATACTCTCTGTTTAATATCTGCAAACACAAAAATGTAAAAGTGCAATTAATTGTCTTGTAAAAATAATAAAATTGTCAAATGTCAACTGAATTTGTGACTTTGACGCGCGCGCGAACGTCGATCGAAAAATAATCAAATGCTGAAATTCTGCGATATCATTATTGCATTCATTAATAAAAATTACTCAGCGAGACAAATGCGAAGCAAGTGCGAGCCAAATTGGACACGATCGACATTTCATCGATCCACGAAGATCGCGCAAATCGCGTGACGTGTTGTTGCAAAATTGCTGAAACAAATGTAATTTCTTATGTTTGTTTCGGGCCAGCATCTGCGACTTGAATGAAAGGATGTTGCGAGGATGTGACGTGACCTAACCCTAGCGCGTTACGCGGAAACCCGGCTCGGCGGTCGTCGTCCCGAAGGAAGAACACAACGAATCTCACCTCGAGCTCCTTGTACTCCTTTGCCAGGTCGTTCCAGTCTTTGAGACAGGAATCGGCGTCGATGTCCATCGCGTGCGAGAGAATTCAGCCACGGTTACGAGGTTCGTCGTCAAGCGCCAACGAGAGACCAACCCGCACAACTTTTGATCAGAAGCAAAATTTCTTTTCTCGTCACTGTTTGCGCTTGAAACACGCGGCGAACGTCCGTCGGATGAATAGGGAACGAATAGAGAATCCCTCGGAAGGAAAGGAGGAAATCTTTATATGCGGTAGGAGCAGAACGTCACTGAGCGGTCATTGAGATGTGGGCACGGGTGCCTCAATTTCAAAAGCCCGTCGGCCATCTTCGGTTCGCTCATCGACAAAATATGATCGACAGCTTGGCCGAGGGAAGGAGAGGGCAAAGAGCAATCTCCGTTGCTCCGATCGCGATATGATTCCAACATTTGTAATCGTTCTTAGCTTATAAACGCTTTCCACGTATCAAAAATACAAATGTGGTCGCGCCGATAAGATCTGAAAGCAAATCGATAAGATCAGGCCGACAGTCTCATCCGCTCAAAGATTCAACGCCGACCTGCGGATCGGCGTTGACGATTCGCTTTTTGCGATTGCACATTTGAGTTTTTTTTCACAACGTTAATAAAACAAAGCGGTCACCATCGCGACACAATTGTTGGCCGCAAAAAGAATTTTAATCAACCGAATTGGCGCACAATTTGATATTTAGATACGGTAGAATCTAATCTAGATTGCGCGCAAGATGAAAGAGAAAAGAGATGTTGATGATACTTTGAACTTTGCGTATTCGCACACGCGCTTTCATCGTGAATCAAGGACGAAGGAGATTTCTTCTGTTATGGAAAACACGGTCGCCGAGAGAAGCACAAATCTAGAAAAAAAATAGAACAATTAAACAAAAATTTGTATATTTCGAAACGGATTTATTTACATTTTTTTAAATTTAATTCTCTTTTCTTTCTTACGTTCTCTTTTCTTTCAAACGTTTCTATCAGAAACCATATCTAAACGATGTTCAAAACTTTTCAATGCGTTAGGAAAAACAGTCGGAGTTCAATCGAGGAGCATATTGAAAGATCCTGATTTTTTCTTTTTTTTTTATCGATGACAAGTGCAACAGTTCGAAAATGTATGCAAAATTTATTGTAATTTAAAACACAAAACTGCATATTAGACTTGCTTATTTTCTCCTTTCTTTTGCAGAAGTACAAAGCGTAAGAAGAGAAGGAGATTTTATTCAGTCGGACTTATTTGGAACGAACTTAGCATATCTCGGAGTATGATCGTCGTGATTCTTGTTTTTTTTTTTTCGTCTTTCTGTTCTCGAAGGATCGGTTTTGCTTAAAATATTTTTGACATTCAAATATTCTTCTGCATTATTTATGTCCATTGAATTGCGATTTAAAAGCTTTCGAAGAAAGGAAGCCATCTTTTTGGCTATAAAAATGAATTCTGCAGACACACGTCTGTGTGACACAGACCCCTGTTTATTTATTTATTTTTTTTTTAACTAATTGACTCTCTTTATCTTTTGCACATCTCCTTGTCTTTGTTTCAGAAGTTAAATTTTTGTTTTTTTTTCTCTCAGTTTCTAATCAATCAAGGATTGACTTGGCGCGACAACAATTTCTTTTCTTTTTAGAGAAAGATTAGTTTGAAACAAAAGATAAAAATTAAAAAAAAAAAAAAAACAGACACACAATCTGCGGGAGAGAACTTTGAGTAATATTAACGATAACCTGTGTAGAAATCCTCGACGGCTGATGCGCACGGTGCACAGATAACGGGCAATGCAGCGCGAGCGATATCCCCGGATCTCTTTTTGTTGCAAAGCCTCGTGCGAGAAAAGTTTCGCTCGCACGAAAAGAGCGGACGGGAAACGTCTCGTCGCAATCGCAAGCCTGCTCCTCACGCTCTGCTCTCCGCTTCCGGTCGGTTCCGGTTTCCGGTTCGCCGCGGAAAAGGCTCCGGCATCACCAGGAAGCCGAACACGCGCAGTGACAGTGAGAAACGAGATGCTCGCCAGGCAAGTTCGACAGTATACTCCGGGTACCGTTAGATGTTAGATATTTTTGAGACGTGAGACGCGCGCGCACGGATTTCACAGACAGAGGTTTTTCGGGTTTTTCCAGATCATTCCGGAGAATAAACTCGAAGTGCTTAATAAAACCGGATCCGAACCGTGTTCCCACACAATCTACATACACACGGGTTGATCTGCAATAAAAAGAAAAAATTGTTGTTACAATTTGATAACTAGAGAGTGCGTTGCGATATGGAAAACAGAACCGATTGAAGAACCAGATATTGGTATGTGTTTAAAAATGTTAAGATATCACGATTATCTAAGCGTGCGAATGATCATTCAAAACAGATTGCGTGTCACGTATATCTAATTCATTTTTAAATCCTCACTCAATATAAACTAAAATCGAATAAAATAAAAATTTCGAATTAAATTTGTCGTTGAATGAAAATTGCTCGTCTCATCACGAGACCGAGAGATAAAGCTCCTTGTGTGTTTTCTTCTTGCATTGATCTTGTGCGCGCGCGTAATACCACTTTGCTACTGTCCTGTGTTTTTTAATTGCGCCTTTTATCTCCTGATGATACCGCGCTTTTTGGCCCGTCGAGGAACGCACACGCCTCGCGTTAGCGCAGCCCAAAAGAAGAAGAAAAATATTGGAGCGATATTTGAGAAAAAAAACAAAAAACAAATATACAAAGTCTGAAATTTTAAAAGCAATTAAGAAAAGTGAAGTCGTTATATTTTTACGTGAAAAAAACTGCAAGAAAAGTACAGAACTCTACATGCTACGTATATTTGTATTTGTATTTTATATATAATTCTTTGCACATTTTAACCGGACACTAAATTATTTTCTTCTTCTCGGCATAATAAAGTTCGCGCGCGCATATAAATTTTATTTAGTTCATGCGTTACCTCTTCGTTCCGTAACGTTTCGGAAAATAATGCTGAATCAATTTTCGAGAGTCTTGAAACACTATCCAATTTCTTGTCGACAGAGCAAGAGCAAGTCGCAGTCGACTCTTCCTCTCGCTCGGCGTATCAGTGTCGTCGAAGAGATGCACATGATGCGAGGAATATCGCAGAGAATCTCAATATCGACAAATAAACGTTGCGGCAACCTAAACGTTACGTTTTCCAAACTCAAAGCGATGGGATATCACACGCGTTTCTTCGTCTTGGACGGGAATGTTCTTCCTGTTGGTCTTTCGAGAAACACCGTCGTCGACCACGTTGCGACAAGATACATCACGTTATCGCAACTCTTCGCGCGAGATCTCGGCACTCTGTCTAGAAAAGAACCGCCCGAATCGCCAGGAATTCCCTTCTTCGGGACGATGCTGTCTCTGGCGATGGCCGGAGGCGCGCAGAAGTTGCACGAATACGTGGACAAACGACACAAGGAACTGGGTCCAGTTTTCAGAGAACAAATCGGACCGGTTCGCGCCGTTTTCGTCAATTCGCCCGACGAATTCCGCCGAATCTTTCTTGGATTGGAAGGTGCTATGCCGCAACACTTCTTGCCGGAATCCTGGAAGTTGTACAACGAGATCCGAGCGCAGCGCCGAGGGCTGCTCTTCATGTATGTTCCGTTTACAATCTTTATTTTCAAAAAGTCGATTATTTTATTTTACTTTTTATATAACATACAGATATATTTTTCAAATACAAATTATTTTGAAGCAACTATGTGTACCTTTAAAATAGGGACGGGTATGAATGGTATTACTTTCGCAAGATCCTTAACAAGACGATGCTGCTGCCCGATTCAACGAAACTGATGAGCACGCCTTGCCAAGAAGCCGCCGAAAATCTGGCAAAAAAGTGGAAAGCGCAAAGTCAAAGTGGTTCCACGATATCGGACCTGGAGCATCAGCTGTATCTCTGGTCTATTGAAGGTAAGCTCGGAACAATTGTGCCGCGCGCAACTGATACATTTTGATAACATGTGATATTTACTTTACTTTTTTTTTTAAAGTAGTTCCATTAATTACTATTTGCGTTGTTATCTTATATATTAATCGTGATGTTTCGCCGTAAACGATCAATACTGATCAACAGGTTTGAGTTACAGCGATGCTGGCGACTCTCATAGGTTCACGATGGTTGGACCACGAGAAGCAATTGCGTTCTGAAGCGAAGAATTTAGCGCTGATGCTGCACCAGATCTTCGAGCATTCCGCCACCTTGTCGATGGTACCGGCCAAGCTAGCGATGACACTCAGATTACCAGCTTGGACCAAGTTTGTCCGAGCCGCCGATACGATTATGGACAAAGTGTGCAAGCTAGTACCTAAAATGATCCAGTTCGACAGCGACGGGCTCCTGCGGACCATGATGAGCAACGGGATTCGCGATGACGACGCCGTCAGAATTGTTGCCGATTTCATTATAGCCGCCGGCGACACGGTGCGCTTTTTAACTCGCCCGATATTCGCGTTCCACAATTTAATTAAATATTTTATATAATTTTCTTTTTTTAATTTCCTAAGAATTTTGTGACGTTGTTTCATTAAAAGCTTACCTTATCATCAGACAGCGATTACGATGCAGTGGACGTTGTTATTACTCAGCAGTCGTCCCGAGTTCCAGGATCATCTGTTTCACAAAGTCAAACACTTGTCGCTGGAGGAGATTCTGCGTGAGCATCTGGTGAGAAGTGTGTGGAGAGAAGCGTTGCGACTACATCCTGTTGCGCCATTTCTCACGAGATATCTGCCGGCCGACGCCACGATCGGCGACTATTCCGTTTCGAAGGGGGTAATACTGCCCAAACATCCTCCAGTAAAAGATCTAGCAGAAAAAATTAATAAAAAAAAAAAAAATGAACACATTAGCATCTTATTAAAAATAACAAAAGACATGTACATACTCTAGAAGTCAAAAATTCACACAATTTGTTGTACAAAAAAAGATAACTAACTTGTATACCTCTCGTCTAGGACTTGATTCTCATGTCAATTTATTCGAGCGGTCGCAACGAGGACGATTTTTCACAACCAAACGAATTCAAACCGGAACGATGGATTAGAACAAAGGAGGGTGGTTATCAGGGTGTGAAAAACTCGTACGCCAGTTTGCCGTTCGCAATGGGTGTCAGGAGCTGCATCGGACGCAAGCTCGCGGAGACACAGATGTCCCTCGCAGTGGCGCAGGTGAGCCACTCTCTGTCGAAATTTGTGTACACACGTGTTAAAAAAAAAAAAAACAAAATGTCCCCGGCATTCTAAATTTCAATTTGTTATCTTACAGCTTGTTAAAAATTTCAAAATTGAGTGCAAAAATCGAGACAGCATCGAGATGATTCTACATCTGATCTCCGTGCCGTCGCGACCTATCGAATTGAAATTGACGGAAAGAGAAGTATAAGAATGTTCGTGATTACGAAAAAAGAAGATGGATATTATCTAACTTATGATCTATACAAAAGAATTTAACATTGTCAGTATATTTTTGTTGTTAAATGCACAATACATGAGGTGTGTAGAACCACCGGATGCACTAACAATAACAAAAAAAAAACTTTGTCTCCGCACTTTTTTCAGTTATCGGTACAGGAAACATTACACGAATATCACATATAGATATATAAATTAATATATAAGTCCGGGACATAACAATATTAATGTATAGTTTTCTAAATATAAACAATATTTCATACCAAATAAAATATGCGATTTGCTTTGTTTTGTTGTTAAAACAAATATATATAAATATGAAATATATATATATATTATATATATACACACACACACAAATTACCATAAAAACTGTTCAAGTTCGAAACATTATATAACAATATTTTTGTATAATTTTGTAAACAATACTTGGCGACAAGATAAAAAATAATATAAGAGCTTCGTAAGCTTCATAAGATAACATCTATATTATGCATTATATACAAACTTAGGCGGTCACTTTCTTTCAAAAATACTAAATACATAAATGGCTTGTTGTTTTTCAAACTCGATAGAGACCAAGTTGTTTTAGGAGTCAAAAGAAAAACAAAGTTTTTGCGATCACACTTTTAAATAAATCTACACGTATCGTACACGCGAACTCCCTGCGGTTGGCTCCCATTGGGATTTCCCAGATACGCCTGTATCGTCATCCGAGTTATTTACACATTTTGGAATACATATATACAAATTATTGTGAATTGCGCGTTCACACACACGCGCAAGATCGTTATGAATTATATAAATACATTCGTAATTGTCGTCCGGCGGACGTTTTCGTGCGTTTTCAACAATTGCTCGGTATGTAATTAAATCTTTAATTTTTCTACGATTAACATCCTAACTTCGTGCAGGAAATCGTCAAAAGCGTCAGTTGCGTAAAAGTCGCGAAACGCTTGCATTGTCTGACTCCACGACATTTCCGCGGTGAGAAAGCTCATTACGCAATAAGAACGCCACTCGTGGCAAGAATTTTTTCTGGCCCACTTCCAAGCCTGACAAAAACTCTCGTAGTTAAGCTTGGCTATGCAGCTCTTGATTAACGGTTTCGTCAAATCGAGCATGAGAAACTTGTCGGCCAGCAGAACGGCGTCCAGTAGCGACTCAATGCTCTCCTGTTCGAATGTTGCGCCGCTCGCCGCCAATATAAGCGTGTTTAGGCCGTCGCGCGAAGTGTCTTTCAATTGCACGCGTCTCTTGCCCGACTCGCTGAAATTACCGTTCAACATGGCCGAGAAAACCTCCGAGCGTTGACACAGCGTTTGTCTGCACGCCTCGACGGTCGAGTCATCATCAAGCACGAACGTAACTGTCGGTGACACCGTTGGCTTTGCGTAATCTGTTTTGCTGGGCGGTATCGAGTAATCGTACGACTCTTCGACGATTAACTGACCGACTGGATGAATCTTGAGCGATTTTGCAAGCTGACAAATCGACCAGATCGCTCGCTCATGCAACTTGTGCAACGATTCTCTTAGCAAACGAAATATAAGTTTTAATCCTCCGTGTTTTTCCAACAAGAGATTGAGATTGTGATAATCCTTGATCAGAAGCGGTATCGAAACCGCCGTTAACAGCTTGTAATCTTCATGTTCGCGCAGCAACGAAAATCCCAAGTGACCAATGGCACTACCGGTTATTGTCCTCAGAATAAACTCCGTGTACTCTTCCGAATCTGGCAGATTTTGCACCTCAAAAATCAAACCATTCCTCAGCAACGAGACAAAATATTCCGGATTTCTAGATGAAACAAAACATTAAGAAGTTTTTTTTTTCAGAATTCTGCGAATAAATTGTTTGTTTTTTTTCCAACATGAGTTTGAAATTTAAAACGAGAAAACAGAAGATGAAAAAAACAAAAGAGAGAAAAGTAATGAAACATCTCGGAAATCTTACTCCGTGATATTTTTCAATATTCTAACGGCTTTCCTTTGAGCGTCGTTCACAATTGTATATTTTATAAACTTTAGCAGCGGCATAATGATGGCGGAATGGGCTAGTCCGTCGATGCTACGAAATCGACTCAATGTGATCAGCAACAACAACGTACAATCTTTGCAAGACATTGAGGGCGTTCCGAGATCGAAATCACATTTATCCGATAAGCTTTTGATCGTTAGCGACTTGCAACTTCCCAAGGAAGAGGCTTCCTCATCTATCGGTAAGAAAACAAAATGTTAGACAAAAACAAAAACATTAAAAATTCTGCTTTCAATCTTAATTGCATCGAGTAACCGAGCAACTAGATACTTGAAGAATTATATGCGGATAGAACCGAAGACAAATAATTCACCTTCGTCGCTATCGTTACTTTCAGTTCCGCTACAAACCGGACTATAAATGTTATCTTCCAGGTCATCATTTTCCATGTACGAAGCTGGAGAAAGCGACGAGGACGGTGTGCCAGGTGGTGACGAAGACGAGGCACTTCTCGGGCTCCAATCATCTCGTCCAAAAAAATCCATACTGAATCTGCAGAAAAAAGTTTTAACGGAATTCTTTCAGTGAAAAAAAAAAAACAAAGAGAAATCGATCGGTGTCATTAATTTCACAAAACCAGTGTTAAAAATCTAATATTAGACGCGCAGTTTGACTATTTACAACAAAAACAACAAATTAAATTTATTCGATTTTCACCTTCCCATCTTATTCTGATAGTATTTGAAGGACGTTCGCATATCCTCGAGCGAACAATCGTTGGAACGTTTCTTGGATACTTTGTTGGTCTTTTCCGCGGCCATGGCAGCCATATCGGTCAGTTTCGCGGCCAAAATATTTAATATACCATTTTTGGTCAGAATTCTGAGCGCGTCTTCATCAAACTTGAACTGTAAGATCGCTTGCATCAATATAAGATGATAATGTTCGTATTTGGATTTCTCGAGCACCGCCAACATCGCTTGAAGTCCACCGCCGATCTTTATGCGGTCTCGATTCACCGATTCCAAACAGAACAAACACAAGCTATAGAGTATCTCCTTGTGTATATGCTCGGAGTTTATCATATCAATGAACTGTTCGATCGCACCAGCAATGCCTAGGTACAAACGGCACTGGTCTATCTGACAGAGACTAAAAAGGCACTTTATGGCCATTATATTGTTGCTAGTTTTGCAATAATGTATAAGACTCTTGTAGCCCTGATTTTTGGAATCCACTTGTATCTGATTGCCGCATTGATAGTTGAAGGTGTCAAGAAATTTACACAACGCCTTCAAACACTCGTCCATGAGCTTGTAGTTGGTCTCCTTTTCAGCTAAGATAAATATAGACGCAACAAGTCTGACAATCTCATTCTTTATTATTTCTTCTCTGCTGTCTGTGCAAACGCTCCAAATATTTCTGTATAAGTTACAATTAGAATAACTAATTATAAAACTTTGTGTGATAAGATTGAAATTATGTATGCAATTTACAAGAATAAAAATTTACTTGAAGAAATAATAATCAACCTTGAAGAAGTAAAATAATATAAGAAATGAAACTTGTTAGAAAATAACATGAAACTGTTGTAAACAATAATTTAAAGACAATTGCGTTACCCTGCAGCTCTTACAGCCATGAGATGAGTAAACCACTCGACATTGATCTTTGAGCTCTTAACTAAACACTGTTCAAGAGCTTTTACCACTCCAGCGGTGTACAAAACTTTGGCGTGCCAACTACATTTGGACAAGTTACCGATGAGCCTGTAAGCCCGGCAGTATATCTTCGAATTTAGTTTTGGATTTTTTATTATGACCGTCACATTGTGTCCTATCTTGCTGTGTTTTATCTGAAATACATATAATTTATATAAATAAATAAAATATAAATACACAGTCATATATATCATAAAGTTTAGCAAATAACATTCCGTATTTAAGATATTGTTTTATTTAATCAAAATTATTCAATCGCTCAAGAGTCAAGATCCATAACTACGCTCCTGACGAGTCAGCTCGCAAATGTAGTGATGTGTATGACAAGTTACATGTGCATTAATCAAAAATAGAAATAATAACATTACCTTATCCCTGACGTCCGAGAGCAAGCAAGCGTCCGCGAGTATGCTGAGACACGTGTTAAGTATAGCATGATTACGTGATTGCAGAAACTGCACAAGAACGAGAAGATTGTCGGTCTGCTTGATGAACTCCTGACAACGTTTGGAATCTCGTTTGATTCGCACGAGACAGGAAACTATACCTTCCTCGTTTTTCATTCGCGAGCACTCAGCCAGCTCCGATATCATCGGGCTCGTCAGCTCGTTCCACGGGATTTCCGGCACGGACATCCCGGGAAATTCTCACGTCGAGATATATTCTTCACGAATAATCGGACACAATAATATATGTAACAAATTTACGTCGCTCTCCCACGGGGAAAGCAATTCCTGGCACCAACTATGTATCGCGTAGCGCACTCCCCAGGCGCGTACGTAGAACCAAACGGGCCACGCGCCCGAGACGAAACTTCATTCATCTCGGTCGCGCGCGTGAATGTATCCGGGTTCTCGCGTTCGGTTAGATTTTCTGAAATTTGAACACGAACGCGTTGATATCGAGAGTATATTGCGCGAAGCGGGTGAATTTATCCGTGAGAAATTCGATACTTACTTAAATCCGTAATTACGTAAGATTCGAATGTTCCGCGAGAAGAACTCGCCGAACACGAATCTCACATCATTGAACTTATGTACCGACCTTGAAGTTCCACTTGGAAACCAACCAAGTTCCATTGGTCCGATTTGCCGGATAAAACCAACGCGATTGGACGCAATTGCGGACGCGACCTGTGCGTCGCGAACGTCGCGAACGTCGCGAGCTCCAGGTGGAACTTACCGCAGGAGAGTTTTTTTGAAAAGGTTCGAATTTGGAGCAATTGTTCGCGCGATAGTAAATTTCTAGGTAAATTCTTTTATTATTTTATCAATAATACTACAATACAAATTATGTCTGCAAATATATCTACTTCCTGTTTTGTTCAGCGCGTGGTCTTGTTTGTGCTCAAAACTTTTGAGCTTGGAAAACAAAAGAATCTAACCTGTCCAACAAAAATATGAGGACAAACACGTGGAGAGGTGTGTGTTTGTTGTTCAGTGAAATTGGAATCAAACTGTAAAAGTAAGAATGAGATTTGTGTATTTAACTTTAGCAACAAACTCTCTCTCTCTCTGTAAAGAGATCTAACGCAAACGTAATACTGAGTTCTGCAATATTTTGTTTGTTGAAATATTAAAAACGCATCATTTTTATTGTACACACGTGTTTTTAGATTAACATCGGTGACAAACATGGAAGATAATAAGCCTGGTTCAAAGGTAAATATAACTTTGAGTTAATCCAATAGACATCATTTTGTTTGCTTTTTATGCAGGAAATTTTTTTTATTGCATGTACGCACAATTACCGGGTAATTATTTTGCTTAGCTCTTGCTGTGACTTGAGTGTTTGTGTTTTTGCATTGAAACGGAATAATCCGCATCTATATTTTATTTTTCAGATCGTAATAGATCTTGACGAACAAGCGGATAAGTATGACAGTTGCAATGCGTTTGTCTTGCCCGCTGGGAAGAAGAAAAAGACAACGAAACAGAAAGAGAAATTAGTAAAGAAAACTCCGTTGTTATCAAAGAAACGCAGGAAACAACTGGAAAAAGTAGTGGAGCGAAAGAAAAAGAAGTTGCAGGTATTACATGTTTCTTTTCCTGAATACGCGCATATGTTGTTACAAATATGTTGTAACATATTGTTTTATAATTTTTAATCTAGAGAGCAACGTTATTAGAAAACTTGGCAAAAGCGCAGGCCGCTCCAACTGAATTGCAACAATATGTGAGTTTGAGATCTGTGCAGAATAAAGGTTTGAAACGTTATTTTCGAGAAGTAGAGGCACTTGCTTCGGTAAAAAATAAGATCGACGAAAGAGAAGATGGCGATACGATAGAAACAGTAGCTAATTCTATTAAGGGAAGCAAAAAGAGAAGATTAGCTATTGTAAACAACGCAAGACGGAACGAAGATACGTCAGATCAAGATGTCGTTGGGTTTGAAGTAAGTTTGATTCGAAACTTGTACACTTTAAAAATTGCAATTGTAGTAAAAAACGATATTTATTTAGTCTAGTGACAGTGGCGGTGATAGCGGCAGCGAAAATGACAACGAAGATGATGAGAACGAAGTACCTGATGAGGTTCCAGATAAATGTGTTCACACCTCTGACTCAGTAAATACAGTAAATTGCGAGGAAAACGAGAGTTTGCCGCGAGATGAAGAAAAACTAACTCAAGCCAAAGTTCCTGAAAAGTCGGAAAAACCAGTTGAAAAAGTGCAACATCGGACTGCTGTTCCTAAAGTTTCCACACCTGCTGTCTTTGTGTCTGTCAATAGGAAACCGGAGATACAAGCAGCCAGACTGAAACTACCCGTTGTTGCGGAGGAGCAAGTTATAGTCGAGACAATAAACGAAAATCCCGTGGTTATAATTACCGGAGAGACCGGAAGTGGTGAGAAAGATTGGAATCGATGCAAATAATTTATTGCGCATTCTTCAAAGAACTTTAACATTGAACTTCAAACATACACACTTTAGATTTTATATATATATATATATATAGAAT